AATAAATATTAGCCTTATTCTAAGTATTAGATGTTTAAGTGTCCTACCTGTTGTGTAAATTATCCATTAAATCATATTTTACTTGTCCAGAGGGTTCGAAAATATTTTTAAATCCAAGTCACATTTGAAAAGGTTTACGTTAGGCTTTTCAAATCATTTAGTTGAATTTTTCCAATTTTTTAAATTAGGTGTGTTAAGATGAAATTTGTATCATCAATTAATTGGAATACTGTAAAATAGTACAATTTGTTGACCAGAATAAAGATTGGGACATATTATTCAGTTACAACAAGAGTGGTATTGAGCCACTTCTCAACCTATACAAACTTTGGTGTGAAGACATGACGAGATGTTGCTCTGTCTGTGGGGGGAAAGACCCCAGCCTAACAAAATTTGGGAGAAAAGTTGGCAATGGGTAAAGAGACAAGAATTAGCATTAAAGTCAATTGTGAATTTACGGTGGCCTGCCTTCTACACTATTTGGGTTTTGTGACATGTGTCACCGTCTATATCAACTTTACATGGGAAGACAGATCAACATATTTCAATTTGCTTGTGTGAAGGGGTCTTAAGCCAAGGGAAACAAACAGGAGAACTCAGATAAAACCCATGAGGTTAGACAGGCGACCCTTCTCCTTGTCACGTAAAAGCGGGGAAGTTGAATCCCTGAAAAAGATTAATAGGGCACATAATACTTACCATTTCTTCAGAACTATTTTATCTGAACGTGTTCCTGTCTGAGCTGAAATAAGTTTCTTGAGATCTCCTATCGTATCATCTATGCTAAGATTGAGTTAAGGTTTATTTTATAGATTTGAGAAAGAGAGCGAAAAAGGGTTTAATGTCCACTTGACGCAAACTGAGTCATTTTGGGTCTAACATATCATTCAATTTTATTTTAATAATTTGCTTGCGCGTAGGGGTCTTTAGCAGTAGGAGGAAACCGGGGGACCCACGAGGTTGGCCAGGCGACCCTACTCCTTGTCACGTACAACCGGGGAATCGAAATCACACCAGTTGACTCGAGGAGACTTTATGATAAAACGCATCCAACCCACCTTATAGTTTAATCATGTAGAAATACTCTCCATTAAATTCAAAATGTCCGAACAACTGGACAACGCTTTATCAGCCCCTGAAACGCTACCCACGACAAGTAGGAATCAAGCTATAGAAACCTTGGGGTTGTTTTCAGACCACGCCATGATTTTTGTACCGAGGACATACTAGTGGTGGCTCAGTTCAACTGGATCTCTGGCACTGTAGAACCTGGCACAAGGACAGAGTCCAGACGTTTAGAGGGGCTGAAATACACGAGATCCTGTGTACAAATTGGCATGCATTTAAATGGAAACCTTGAAGTGAAGGTTGGAATTCTATACAAGAGTAGGTCATTAGCCCAATAGAAGCAGAAAAGAAGGACGTTATACCCCCATTTCCTTTCATTAGCCTGATCATCTACATGTACCGCACCCTCCCCACTCTCACCGCGTGTTTGTTTTCATCAAGGATACTTGCATTTAACTCGGACTTTCTTTCCTAATCGATCATTACACGTTATTTCTAACATCTTTATTTCTATGGAAACAGGAATTCTTCTTTAGTTAGGACAATTCAGCAAATAATCTGAAAGAAAATATTCACAAATCAATTAATTCTAAATTCATATGTAAAAGTTCTATTCTTATTCAAGGCGCCATGGTGGTCAACTTATCAAGCTTAGTAAACAAGCCAACAATGAGGCTGATGTTCCCCACCGAAATTGCAAAATAAATAGATGACACATATTAATTAATCGCACATTTATTTTTTTCACCAAGTTTCATCACTCTCTATCAGATAGAATCAAGATTATCTTGTCCCAAACCATCGACAAATGAAATCGAAGGGTGGGGGACACAGACACAGAGAGAGGGAGAGAGTTTAACATCCACTCGACACAAACTAGTTTATTTTAAGACTGAAATATAGATTAATTTTATTTTAATAATTCGCTTGCACGTAGGGGTCTTCAGTGGTAGGAAACCGGTGGACCCAGAGAAAACCCACGAGGTTGGACAGGTGACTCTACTCAGTCAAAGTACAAGTGGGGAACCGAAACAATGCCATGTGACTCAATGACAGACCTTCTGATCCAACGCGCACACGTCAGCCATTCAGCCACATGTTGACCAAGGAGGTTTGTTATGATTTTCCAGCAACGTTTCCCCTTGTCAGTCGACTAGAGGCTAGAATGGATGGCCTGGCATGGAACAGCGTTGTCAGTCGGCTAGAGGCTAGGATGGAGGTCCTGGCATGGAACAGCGTTGTCATTCGGAGGTGACAAAAAAAAAACCAAGGTCCTGTGTACACATTGGTGTGAAAGAGGGTCTCGTCAAGGGGAAACTACATGGAAAAATCCCTAGGTACTTTCACGGATAACACAGGGAGTGAATCAAAGCTCTCCTGGTTAACTCAAATAACAAATGTTTCCATGAGATAGTATTTGTTCGATTCATCCAGCTCAAGACAAGTGTTATTGTACAATAAACAGGTAAATATTTCATTTATTTGTTGCAATATTTAATTGTACAATGGATTTTATGTAAGGAAGTGGATAAACGACCGGATTCGGTTCCTGACGAAAATTTACTACGAAACCGGATATCGTCTCTGATTGGCCAATTTTATCACGTGGTTATTAGCGGTCTTTTCCAATATGGCGGCCTCTACAGGCATCCTTGTTGGTGCTGAATTTACGACTCTGAATTCACTTTTAGAGGCGATGAAACAATTTGAATTTACGAATAAAGTGACATATTGGCGAAGAGATATGCGGACATTAGAAAATGCAAGAAAGCAAGGGTTAGGGTTAGAACCGAACCTATCGCAACAGAATAACCATCTGATGAAATTGGCTATCAGAGACGATATACGGTTTCGTAGTAAATTTGCATAAGGAACCGAATCCGGTCGTTTATCCACTGTCATTATTTAACATCGTGTAAAGCTCTTTTCCGGTAACACAAAAGCGTAACTAAAATTGTCACCGACAGACTGTTGATTAAAAAAAAAAATTCAGATCGGAACCGGATACACTGGCTAAAACTGGCAATGCTCATGCACATGTTAACTTACCAAATCTCGCCCAAGCGAGATTACACGTCTCATAGATGATAGAAATATTCCTATGACACGTCTAATCATTGACATCACATATTTTTGACAATGACGTCAATGAAAATAATTCTCACACTTTTTTTTTTTTAGATAACAAAATTAATACAATTTAGATCTAAATCAAAATCACTTGAGAAACTTAATTATGATTATGAAGGTTTTATATTTAACAACAATCACATCAGCTTCGCTCTACTCAGGCAATGCCTGTTACATATTATGCATACCAGTATTGGTATCTACTGTAAATTGAAGTTTACCTGATGGCAATGTATGAATAAAAATCTGGAACAAATGCTAAAACATTTCCATCCAGTTTCACGTTTTTACGTTTTCTTTTCTTCTACCGGAAGTTGACAATGTTCACTGTAAAGTCAGCTCTTCTTCACCAACCGCAGTTTGGTATTGAATAAAATGAACATAAAGTTGACATAGCATAATGTATTTTGAAATTGCGTTCAGCAAAACATTTTGATCTTGAAAAAAAAAAAAACATAACAAAAGAAATAAAACTATATTCTATTTTTGTACTGGATCTAAAATGGAGTTGTCTCCCCTTCACCATATAATCATCTTCATGTTAGAGTGAATAGAAAGCATAGAAAATAAAATGAAATGGGGTTTAACGTCCTACTGTTCTGCTCCTATGCTGGGCTCATGAAGACGGGCATACGCCATACAGAGTGCTATGAGGGAAATTTTGCCCTTGCAGTGGCACTACAGCCCACTCTTATATCGAATTCCAACTGTCAAGGGATCTTTAACGTGTATTCCAATGTATACACGGGACCTCGGTTTTTCGTATCATCCGAAGGACTAGACAGCTGTCCTTGTCAGGCCTTTGGTTCTGCACCACTGACAAGGGGAAACCACGTCGGAAAATCCAGATAAACTTTCTCGGCCAATGCAGGGATCGAACACCCGACCTCTAGACTAGCGATCCCGCGTCTTAACCACCTAGCCACCGTGGCTCCCAGAGTGAATAGAAAAGCATAGAAAATAAAATGACATGGGGTTTAACGTCCTACTGTTCTGCTTCCACTGGGCTCATGAAGTCGGGCATGCGCCATACAGTGTCTTATAAGGGAAATTTTGCCCTTGCAGCGGCACTACGACCCACTCTTATATCGAATTCCAACTGTCAAGGGATCTTTAACGTGCATGCCAATGTATACACTGCACCGCAGTTTTCCATCCCATCCAAACGACTATACGTTATCTCTTGCCAGGCCTTCCGTCCTGCACAACTGACAAGGGGAAACCATGTCGGAAAATTCTCATGAACTTCATCAGCCAATGCAGGGATCAAACCTGGGACCACAAGGCGCGTGTAGTATTGGGGATAAAGCGGAGGACTCCGTGAAATCCTGTGATCAGGATCGAAATGTTTATTAACTCGAGGAAAACCAACCGACACCATTGGCGTGGATTTACCTGTCACCCCCTTAGAATCGGAAGGGGGGACAAATAGGTCTCTGTCCCCCCCATGATTTTGATCACCAGGATAGATTTTCAGGTTTATATCCACATGAATATCCCGTTCTGAAGGCTATCTAACCACTGCCTTGGGTCTCGCCTCAGTAAATCATCTTCACGATATCTTCCTCCTTAATTGTATGTAGTCAATTTTACTATATCGTCATCATATTACCCCTAGTTACAGCTTTCATCGAAATAGCATTGGTAAACTGTTCGTAATTATTATTTTGGTTTGGTAATGAAAGGTTCCAGGGTTCGTCCGCCCCCCCCCCGCAAAAATTATGAAAAATCCACGCCCTTGACCGACACCCCCACCCCCAACACTGCTGAAAAGAAATATATTAAATAACTCAAGGAATATGAACCTTTAGTACATTTTATTATCCAAATATGTAACAATAATAATTTTCTTGAGCGCTATAGTGTTCTATTTCGGCCACTTCCCGCGTCGCCCTTGAAAAAAGAAGCCCAAAATTCACGTCATGTGTCACTTTTTTCAATGTTAATCTATAGAGAAAAAAAGCGCCGTCGACTTTTTAACACGACGTCGCCCTTCAGAAAGTGGCTTGCTCCCTTGTATTAGTTATAGTGTGAATATTCCTTGACATTTTTACACACAGAATTAATACGACAATATATTTAACAATCAACTTAGTATGTAAAATTATACCCTCCATTTTATTGAAAAACTCTATAATATATCTTGGAAAAATCATAAGTCTACCCTCTGAAATATGAAGTGGTTTACCCTCTCTATTTGCTGAAATACGAACTGGTTTACACAGGTTTAGGGGAAGCAAAGGTCAGTGATTTGCTTGTCTATAAATATTCAAAGGGACCCCTTTTGAATATTTCTGGTAAGCACTTAGACAATATTCCGTCCCCAAGAAGTGTTGTCCACGGGCATACACCCCCCTCAGGCCCCCCCTCCCCCAAATGTAAGGGCCCTGGATAAGTTAATTAATGTCTAATTAATAATTTAGAAAAACATTTCTGGCCCAAAGAAAGACCTGCAATAGGCAGATTTAGCTCTTGCATAATGTATGTTTAACATTGAAAAAAAGTGACACAAATTTTGCGTCGCATGTCGCTTTTTTTAAAAGGTGACACGCGAAGTGGCCGAAATAGAACACCATACTGAACATTCAGTCAGTTTGACTGCTCTGTGGTCATTTACAAAAAAAATAAAAAATCATTTAGCACATTAAAAAACACAATTTATATGGACAACAATCACTGTAGTTGATAACGATAAGAGTATACTTGTCAAAACATCGTACTTGTCGAAACATCGTGCTATAAACCAGTGATTGTTTTACATATAAATTGTGTTGTGTTTTTTATAACAAAAATATAGTTTAAAATATAATAATAAGCCATATCTTGGCTTATAAACAAAACATCCATGTTTTCTTCAACATGTCTTTAATAATAAACAAAAAGATTTTATAATATAAAAGTTATATAGAGAGCGTAAAATCCAACATTGATTAGAGAAGAACAGTGTTAGAAGCCACAGATCCCGTGGTAGCATCAGCATTTGGCAGCTGGAAGTGAAAGAATAGTTGGAGGATATGCTTCTATTCGAGCAATTTATCTCATAGCACACTGTATGGCCTACGCTCAGTTTCATTAGCCTCATTTCATTTCAATAATGTAAACTTTATTTGTAAATTTACACCCAGTCAAAAATCAATAAACATTTATTTCATTATTTGATATAAATAATGTAGAGGAAATACCAAACAATGAAAAATTTATATTGATTTTATATCCTAGAAGGATGATAACAAAAACCCCGGTGAAATACAATATTAAATTGTTTCAATGTCATTTAGTAATTGAACTGGAATATACAGGTGACATTTCTATGGAATACAATTACTGCTTATTACTGAACAACGTTTTGACAAGGCTTTTCTAGTCATTATCAAGCTATGATAAAATATATAAAATATAACAAGATAATATATATATACATGTAAACAATCATACTTGGTTAATGCTCATTAATTAATACTTATATGCTAAAGTTTAAAGATATATATAGATTTTAAGATACATTATGTAAGATTTACATCAAGGGCTAGCTATTCTTGATATACTACATGTAGTTTAAAGTTAGATAATCAAAAATGAATAGGCCTAAATGATTGATTCATGTAATATTTGAAGCCACAAGTTTACCGAGGAGATGCAGGTTAATCCTGGTGTTGTAGGAGAAAGATCCCAGTCTGGAATTGTCAGCGGTTCAGACCAGAGGACCTGGTAAGAAAAAGAGTGTTGTCATTTGCATGGGACAAAAAAAATGTGTACATGTTGGAGTGCACAGAACCTTTGACAGTTGGAATTGTATATAAGAGTAGGCCGTGGTGCCACTGTCCAGGTAAAGTTTTCCCCATATTATTATTAGTAAAGTTCTCTTGTATACTCTTCAAGAAAAGTAAGGGATATTGAAATAGGGGATATTAAAGTAGGGGATATTGAAATACAAATACCTATGCAGGTTGCGATATGATAAATAGCCATGGACATTTGACATGCTTTGAGAGTATGTTCACAGATGAAGAACTAATCGTCCCAACAGAACCACTGAGCTCAATAGTGCCATACACGTTGGAGGGGTTCATTGTCAAATTTGACACGTCAAGGAAGGGTTGATGAAAACTGCCACGTGGTAGTTTATCCTATCAATGTTTGCTTTTCTATCGGTTCTTGCATACAATTTACTGTTTAGCGAATCTTTGCTTTAGTGTGTTACGTTTAATTTGATCGGGAGACGGGTTCGTCGACGTCAACCGACAACACTGCAAGAATTGACCGTGGCACTGCAAGAGGAGTGGGTCAGATTGTCCCAAATCGTGATTGGATGGTTGATTAGGAGTATGCCACAACGAATTGCTGAATGTCTGAGGATTGGTGGAGCAATTACTCAATATTAAGACAAAAATCAATAACGTCCATTTTCACATTTGACAGTGTATCTCTTGAGTGAAATGGGTCCGTCAAATAAGCCACCCATATGAACTGTTTATGTTCATGTGTAGGCAATTGGCCTGTTATTAACATACACTGGTCTAATAAAAACATCAGTGCATTTCCGCAGTTTTGTATTGTTTCTGAATATCCCCTACTTTTTTTGAAGAGAATATATGTAGGTAATATTGATATTCAGCTATTAACGCATATATACAGCTGTACATGTAGAGGAGTGATCCGTTTCACAGTGTTTTAAACATTGTGAATTTCATTTCATGAAATAGAAAACTTTGTGTTTTGCTTTTATGTAATAATATCTACATGTACATGTATTCTGATACTGTTTAGCCCAATGTGCATGGGAAATATTATTATTGAGTGAGCTTGTTTCAGCTTTTTAGCCGAATACACCATAGTGTCCCGCGTGCAATTATAGATCGATTTACCACATGACGTCATACGGGAAACGCAGAAAATCATCATCCCTATAAATACAACATAAAGCATGTGGTTGTTAGGCAATAAATCTTGTCTGGAACTTAGATAACTTTCATAATCTGATATCTATCGTTTGGTTCACAACAGATGAGTCTATTTTCTATTTTGATGATATCTCAGGTGCCGTACATAGTTCAAGTTGTCTGGTAGAAAAATTGCCTGAGATTTCGTTAATTACAAATAAAATTGTTATCGGACTTGCTTTGAGCAGACACCATGTCCGCCACGTACGCTATGTCAGTATAGATTAGAAGTAGGAATTTAGCAAAACTAAGAGTTAGTTCCCCAGTATTTTGTTTTGAATGAAGAGTTAGTTCCCCAGTATTTTGTTTTGAATGAAGAGTTAGTTCCCCTGTATTTTGTTTTGATTTAACAGTTCATACAGTTTATGTAAACGTTTTGTGTTTGGTTTTCCTGACGAACTATTTTCACTCGAACTTGAAGAATGTCTGCGCATCTGACCCACGTTTGTTTCTGAACTATTTAAATTTTGACGTGGTAACAGCGATATGTGCGAAGCATTATCATCGTTTGGAGTAAAATTTGACACTCTTTTAGTTTCTGACATTCTCGTTTTTTCCAGAGTCTCCGCTTTAAGCCGATCTGACGGAGTGGTAAAAACACACGGGTTTGATACTTCACTACCCGAGTCATCGCATGACGAGGAATTACTTAATTCAGCTGAGGGAGACGAAAAAACAGGTGTATGTGCACGTCCAAGAGTTTTTGGTGTTGGAATTTCTCCATAATCTCGGGAATCATCCGATGATTTGTCAGAACAAAACAGGGATGGTGAATAGAGTTCAACTGATGTGTTCGATTTCCGTGAACTTGGATTATTATTTTGCATCAATCCTGCCGGAATAAGGGTAATTCCCTTTAACCGACTACTATCATTTTCTTCTCTTCGTATTGAATCAAAAACTCTGCTTGGAGTCAGACTTTTTTCCTTGCTGCAAACTTGCGATGAAATCTTCTGAATAAACTGGGTATCTGATAATACGCTTTCACGGTCGTCTGATTCAGATAATTCTGTCCCGGAGGACTCGACTCCTATATTTGATCTGAGAATTGACAACGATCTTGGGGAAGTATTCTTTCTATTTTCTAGTTCACGCTCATTTGGATCACAAATTTGAACATTTTGAATTTTTGAGGTACATGTAGTGTCTGCCTTGAACTTTTCGTGTGTCGTGCCTTCTGGTTTCTCATCTCTGTTGGCTGCTGCGTATTTGTTATTGCTATAAACTGTTTTCTCCATGTTTGTATGCCATGGCGAATCTTTGGATGCGATAACGTCAGGATCTATAACTCGCGTAGAAACTTCACGGAAACCATTTTGATCCTTCTCTCTTGGAAAGTTATTTTTACCAGTATTTAGCTTCATGCGTCTCTGTAAATCTTTGACAAAACGTCCCATATGTTGAAACGCCAACGGCAGAAGATGACGTTTACTCTGACATTCTGTAGCCTCTTTATCAGATGCGTTACGAACATACGTCAGGTATATTTCTACACCCGCGATAAACTCAATCATCATTTTTTCCATCAACACGATACGTAACTCTGTTAAATGTCTGACATGTTTCGAGGCGGCGTCTAAAATCCATTTAGGGGTTGGTCTTGTTGCCCAGATTTCTTGATCTTCTGCCTTGGCTTGTTCCCGAATTCTCATTACGTGTACTTGTTCATTGGGTAGATCGAGGTGTTCATACAGACAAGATGCAAGGCCTGGCACGTATCTTGGTAGATCTTTATGATTCTGTGCTTGATATGCAAAAACATGTGCAACCTGCGTATCGAAGATGTTAAGCATCTTTATATGGTACTGATGATGCAACATGTCAGAAATCATACGACAGTCATGGATAACTTTAAGAATGGCTTCTGATTGGATAATGTTTTTAAGACCATGATCGAATCCATCTTCACCAAGTTTTATCATGTCAAAGAGAAAGATGGAACCGTTGGCGTCAATCTGTATCCAACAAAGTCTGCCATCACGCCCTATCTCCACACCTTCCACAGCAAACCCTATGACAGGTTTATCAGAGATGAATCTCAAGGCCTGGTAAAAGAGGTCATCTATTTTTGTCAATACCGTCAAACCATCGGCCGTATAACTCTCTTCAATGTCACTGCCTGTGTCATAATCCGAACTTTTATCACCCTTGAAAGCAGTGCGCACCAAATCTTCATCAACATCGGGTCCATTTTTACCAAATATCAATTTTTCAGGATCTAGCTCGACAAGACTTCTTAAATGTTTTGGGGTTCGCTTGACACTTTTGATATTGTTATTTTTGTGTTTTTCTTTCTTAGAATTTTGTTTTGGGGTTTTCTGTTGCGTTTCTGGTAAAATTTCAATATCTGCTATTTCACTGGCTTGAACTCGTTGAATACCCGGTAATCGCGTCTTGCTGGTGGATTTGCCTTGCAGCCAGATTTCAACTTTATCAAGAACCAAAACGCTGTCGGTCTCATTTGTATTAATGGTATTGATAAAACCTAACAGTACATTATTATCGTTCAAACTTATCTTCACACGTGCACCAGTATATAAATCCATTGCCATTGCGACTGAAGAAGCTCTTTCAGCAAACCAAAACTGTGCGCTTCACGTATTGACATGGATAGTCAGCATCTACCGGAAGTTACTTCAGTGACGGATAGGAAATGGACTTCGATAAGGACCATAGTGTTGTGTGAATACAAAACGATAACTGTAACGACCCATAATATGTATAAAAAAAAAAGTCTCCCGGATTGTAACTGAACCGTAATACATTCACACATCAAAAATGTTTAAAAATTTGATCTCATATATCCACTAAATATCGCAGGTTAGATGGCCTCGAGAGTAGCAATTATGGTTTTTCATAAGGTAGGCTATATTAATGACGTTCTTACATTACAAACTTTGCGAAAATGACAGGTTTTGTTCTCCATTTAAAACATTTGTATTGAATTTGAAAACACGATATAACTAGGCAATATTATACCAACTTTTCAAAAATTTAAAACCTTTTTAATTTTTTTTTTTTTTTTTGCTTTTGGCTATTGCTTTTGTGTAGGAGTATTACTTGGCTGTAAGAAACAGAAATTATGTTCGTTTAAAATTGTATTTATTTTTTTTTACATCAAATATCTGACAAATGAGACAGTGATTACCCATGTTCCAAACTGTGAGTACAGCGACTTGAGCGTGGTCCATCCAATATTACTTTATTTATATGGTTTGGGGTGACAAGGAATAGGGTTGCCTGTCCAACTGTGTGGGTTTTCTCCGGGTTCTCCGGTTTCCTCCCACAGCCCTAACGCACAAGCAAATTATTGAAATAATTCATATATCCTAAGTCCCAAAATGATCTGATTTGTGTCGAGTGGACGTTAAACCATCCCTCTCTCTCTCTCTCTCTCTCTCTCTCTCTCTTCGATGGTGTTTATTCACCATGACAGTATATTTTCATCTTGACTATAGAATCATTACGCCCAATGGATATTAATGAACAATGAAATCACGTGTTGTAAAAACTCATCATTTATTATTTTATAGAATTATAATGAAATAAGATAGTGTTATAGTGTATCTTTTATTATAGAACTTTAGTTAAAGTTGTAACTGACCAATGTCCGAATTGATATCCCATAATATTAATCTTTCAAGTCTTTTTGGGTTTATACTTGATGTAACGATATAATCTGCTAACACGCGTTCTTGCTATGTCGATATCTTCTTTTGTATTTAAACATCTGTTTCCTATGTACAATTTAACATTTCTGATCAAATATTATTATATAATTATTTTAATCCTAAGCTCGTAACTTTAGTCTGGTTACCGACTCGCTCTAGCGATACCTATCTTGTTATTGTGACTGTTCGGCAGTTTTGGACACTGGTTTATCAAAAGTAGAAGTTTAAACATGCATTATGCAAGAGCTAAATCTGCCTATTGCAGATCTTTCTTTAAGCCTGGAATATTATCTAAATTATTAATTAGACATTAATTAACTTCTACAGACCATAATCAACTCTCGATGTCAACGCTAGCCTGCGACATTTATTGGATTAGGATCCGATCTACTGCTCAACTTTCATTCCTGATTTAATCATGAAATGGATAATCGGTACTATTATTTTTTTTATTGTACCGACATTAGTAATGAGGACCGAGGCTAGCCCGAAAATTCAATCGCTAAAATATCGGGTCAGAGTGGATCAATTTGACTGAAATTTTCAGCAAATACCCTTTACATTATCAACTATTATAGTGAGAACTGCCAGCTCTTTATCTAATCTCCAATAATGTATCTTTAATATTTAAATTAATTTCGGGCTTCCCCTATATTATATTGAACTCTAGAAAAGCCAATATGATTTGAATTTAATCTATAGAGAAAACTGAATGGCATGGCGAACAGCTGTAACCCATGTAAAACCCGTCTCTCGAAATCTATCAATTACACAAAAACACATAAATTCTCGCCATACTTTCATACAATTTGCAACTCGGGTTTCATTGTCTAACTATATTTTTGAACCCAGTAACCTATTTTTATTTTAAAGAAGCTAAAAAAAAAAAATTAAAAAAAAAATCAATTTTATTTTTTTTAACGGGGCGTAAAAAAACACGAGTAAATAATCAATGAATTTACTTGATGAATTCTTGTCTTTTCTTTCTGGCGATTGTATGCCAGATTAAGATAAATCCTCGAGTCTTTAAAATATGTTTTTATGTCTATAACGATAAAAGGTTGATATGGTATTATACGTCTCGCCCCCTGATTTATATCAATAACAACCATTTATTGATGATCATAGCATATCGTCTAATTATTTCATTTATTAAATTATTTCCGGTTCCTGCATTAAGACGTTGCTCGTGCAGCTCGCGCGTGACGCCATTACCTGCCGGGAAGAAGATAAAGGAATAATAAAGACGCCATGATACCTGGTTTTAAAGGGACTCCAGGTGGGTTCAGATTCCACGATTCTATTGGTTTAAATCTAGTAGAAATAAAATAAAATGAAATGAAATAGGGTTTAACGTCCTAATGTTCTGCTTCGACTGGGCAACTGAAGACGGGCATACGCCATACAATGTTGGATATTGGGCCTACTTTTATTTGGAATTCCAACTGTCAAGGATTCTTTTACATAGGCGCAGGAGCTCAAAGTAATTCAGGGGGGCATAAGAGAAAATTGCCCGAAGTCAATACCGTTTTTTTCGGGCATACATATCATAAGAGAGCTTCGGGCATATAGAAATAAGTTAGTTATATTTTTTCTCTAAACGTTAATAGAAAAAAAAGGTCGTCGAATTTTTCATTGCCCGAAATTAAATCCCCCCCCCCCCCCCGGCTCCTACGTCTATGTTCTTTTTACGTTCACATCTCGATTTTTGGTCCCATCCGAACAACTATACGGTATCCCCTTCCAGAGTTAAGAAAGAGAAAATCTAATACTGAGACAAACATGTAACTATTTATTTTTATAAAGATATAGTTATATGTATGCAACTATCAAGGGCTCTTTTATGCCCATACAAGTGGAACATTTTTTTTTGTCCCATCCCAACGACAACTATAAACGGTTCCTTTACGTGCATACAGTTGGACAACCTTTTTTTTGGTCCCATCCGAACGACATCTATCAAGGGTTCTTTTACGTGTATACAGGTGGGACACGTTTTTTTGTCCCATCCGAACGACAAGGCACTTTTTTCTTGCTGCCCCACGGATACTACCCGGACACCACCTCTGACAAGTGTAATCCAGACTTGAAAATGTCGGCCAGATAAAACTACGCTTTAAGACAGGCTAAATCTATTTGTTAAGGCCAGCTCAATTTCTGCCAAGGTCGCTGAGATGTAAACAGGGTTAGGGCGTGTGATTGTTGGCGAGATCGTAGGTTAGGTTTAGGGTAAGCATTTGGGCTAGGTCCAGGGTTAGGGTTAGGGTTGGGATTACATCTCGTGACCTATGACGAAAAATTGAGCTGGCCTTATCATTTAGCACCAACCCTTTAAGACAGTAGGTCGGCCTATTTTTTTGTTTCCATATTAAACCCTGTTTTCATGTCATTTAGCCGTCATCTATAATCATGCATACAGTGATTCTATAAGATATTTTATACAATCTGATCGAGTTAATCGTCATATTTACACACACGTATTCTGTCCACGCTCTTTGATTTAATTATATTTTATCAATCAAGTTGCAGGTAAAACTGATGCCCGGATGTTATAAAGATGGCGACAAGTTTTAAAGATAAAACAGTCTATTACACTATGTTTTAATAATATTGATTGAAGAGGTAGAAGAGAGTGATGTTCGTTATGCATGTTAAATATATCCGATCATTGATTCATACACATTTAAAATCGAACGAGAGTCATGCGTTCTTTCAATTGAATAATTTAAAAAGAAAAACATAAAAAAAATGTTATAATCATTTAAAGATACATTTCGACGAATGTATTTATGGGTAGTTATTTCCTATTATGACAATTTTAGAAACTAGAGACTCCCAGTCTTAGCCTACTACAAAAGTCCTCGATTCACTGAAAAACACCAATCTTAGCCTCCTAAAAAAGTTCCCGATTCAATGAAAAACACCAATGACGCGACAACAAGACAAAAATGTGAGGGTATCCCTAATAGGCAGTCCGTCCCCTTGAGTGACGTAAGCAGTATTTCTAGGGCTAGGGTTAGGGTTATATTTTGTGTATGAAACGCGTCAAGTTTGTGTATGTCTATAAGTTTGTATTACTTGTGCTTTTTGGCTGTGTTAATATGAACAAGAGCGGATCTAGAAGCTGTGAATAGGGAACGAGGGGCTGGGGGCACATCTAGGGCGTCATCCACAATCCCACCCACACTGAATTTCAACAAAATACATAATAAAATGCATAAAATAACACCGAACGCCCCGGTAGAACACAGATCCAGGGGTTGATCCTGCTCAGCTACATAAATCAACACTTTTCATGAGAAAAGTTTCTCGGCCGTGTGCTTTATCCTTTATCGTCAGATGTGGGACAGGATGGGCACTCAAAGCACGAGATAATGATATAGACATTATGTGATATCACAATTAATGCTTAATTTCATCCATGAAATTGAATCACAATGTCATTGTATTAATTCATAATAAAAAATGACGTCAAACGAGGTGTTGAATTTCTCTGTTTTAAAAGCTCAATATACGCCAAAATGGCGATAGAGACCATGCGGGAGGGGGAGGGGGGATACATTGTCTCAGGAACCTGGCAAACCCCCTCCTGCAAAAATTCCTGGATCCGCCCCTGAGATCGTATTGGCTATATAGTTGTTCGTCGATGGTTATCTCACTAGGAAGTAGTTTTATTCAAGTTGAATGTCAAAGTTGACGTCATAATATGATTATTATTGATTTTCCTGTGAACCTAAAGGGCGACTACTTAGTCCAGGGGGCGCGGTGGGCGGGTGGGGGAGGGGATAAATCGGCTCCTGATAATGAATTTAACAGTTTATTTCCATTACCAACTAAAATATCCATCTGTAGCCTTGAAGTCACTTTACATATTGGATGATATACTATAGACCATAGTTGGGTAGGGTATACTGGCTTGGTGTCCTGTACA